GCCGGGCCGGGCCTATAACCGGTTACATAACCGGTCCCGGTCTTAACCGGTCCCGGTCCCAAAAAACGTCAAAAACCCTAACCGGATCATAACCGGCGGTCCCTCAACCGGTCCCTACCGGTCCCGGTCCCGGTCCTCCGTCGGTTACGGGCCGGGCCGGGCCCATTTGGCCATCTCTAACCCGCGCAATGCAGCGGGATGTAAAAAACTCATTAAGATTATTCAACTTTGAGATATCAAATTTCTTAAAGATATAACGAGCCTACTACATTTGTATTCAATTAGATTCAAATATATATACATCCAAGATGTTGGTGTTAGTAGGTTCTACAATTATTCATAAACCACCCAAATGACTCGAGCGGTCGAGCAAGATACTCGACCCGAATCACAACTCATCTCGAATATATTGAATCAAAGAAACCCTTAAAAGCAAATGGGTTTGTTAATGTATACAAATACTGTAAATGAAATGATATTTGACCTGAGATATAATACGTATGTTGCTGTGGAAAGACCACCGCCTTTGGTTCCACCCCAATCAGAATCTGAGAAGGCAGGAACCTCGTTTTAGAAATAGTCCATGATAAAGTCTATCATTTAAATACCAAAGCACTCGTTTGAGAGATTGCCATTACAACTGTGTTGGACTATGCATATATTGTGACAATCTATTTATTGTAAATGATATATTTGGGGAGTGATGGCTAGGTACTAGAGTGAGCCAACGAGTTTACGGTAAGGTGTTGCATCGATGAGTGGGGATCCATCAACAAGATAGTGTATCAGCTGAATTGAGAGGTGTAGCCACTGCTTTAGCTTAATCCATGTGAAATTGTTCCAGTAGATCTTCTACATGTCGATGATGAGATAAAAATAGACCAAATGATGTAGATATGACCTCAACACCTAAAAAATGGTGTAGTAGTCCAAGATCTTTGACGGAAAAATCGATCGGCTAGTTGATGAACGAACTGATCCATTTAACTCATTACAATTACCTGTGAGAACTATATCATCCACAAAAACCATAAAGTAAGCCGTTAATCCTTGGTTATTATAGTTAAACAACGAGGTATTTACAAGCGATTTTTTAAGCAAGTTGAGTCATTGTCTGTAAGGTTGAGCAAACAAAGTATATTAACCGATCTAAAGGGAACATCCACGGGATTTGTTTGAACCAGCAACCCAAAGAGTTTCTCTTCCAAAATCCTTAAATAGAATCCTTGTTGATAGAACTAAAGAACAAAAAAATTGTCGATAAACTATTTAAGCATGCGGAACAATTTACACATAAATTTGTTCAAATAGAACAATTTGAGCACATCAGAAGCAAATAGAAGATGAAGATCATCTTACCAGACCAAAATCTAGAGTTGGAGAATTCTTAAACCGTCACACTTTCTTGGCTTCTCAATCCATTTATTGTATACAAGCATCAAAATCAATTATGTTGTCCAAATAATTATAATGAAGGAAGAAACTATTATCTAGTGAATACATTTGAAAAGTAAATAAACTATCTTGATACAAATCAAAATAGAAACCAATGTCTCAATTAATCTAAATGACCAAAAATCAAACCCCACCACCTCTAGATCAACTGCACCATAGTCCAATCTCCACTTTAAAATCTAACCCCACCGCCTCGTGATCTATACTTATGACTTTGTATAAGCGTTGTGCATGCGCCGCAATCGAAACCAAATAAAAACATTGTTGATAAGCATTCTTCCAATTTTTTCCCTTTATCTTACCCAATAACTTCTAATTATCTCGGGCAAATACAAACATAAGGATGAACTTATTTATCCAACCTTACACTACCCCAAGCTGAATAATTGCAAGTTGCCAACTTGGCATTCAAAAAATAAAAGAAAAAGAAGCTATTCCTTTAAAAATTATCCTACATCTTTTTAAAAAAAGGAAAAGTACAATAAAAACCAATGAACTTTATTGTTTGGAATGATTAAGTTCTTGAACTTTTTTTTGGAACAAATAAGTCCTTGAACTTTCCAAAACATGTTAAATAAGTCCTTGAACATTCCAAAATATGTTAAATAAGTCCTTGAACATTCCAAAATATGTTAAATAAGTCCTTGGACAATTTTTGGAACAAATAAGTCCTTGGACATTTCAAAAAATGTTAAATAAGTTCTTGAAAAAAATAAAGTGGTAAAATAGTGAAAAAAATCGGGAAAAAAACCCAATGAACATTCATATTTTGAACGATTAAGCCCCTAAATATTTTTTGAACCAAAAAGTATTTAGATCTATAAAATTAAACAAATATAACAAAAAAGTACTTACATTTACAAAAAAAATAATTACCATTTTAACTAGTTGTACAAGTCATTAGAATGTATCCAACATGTTTTATAAAAGTTCAAGAAGTTATTTAACATGTTTTGGATTGTTCAAGGACTTATTTGTTCCAAAAATTGTCCAAGGACTTATTTAACATTTTTTGGAATGTTTAAGGACTTATTTAACATATTTTGGAATGTCCAAGGACTTATTTGTACCAAAAAATTGTCCAAGGACTTATTTAACATGTTTTGAAAAGTTTAAGGACTTATTTGTTCCAAAAAAAAGTTCAAGGACTTAATCATTCCAAACAAGAAAGTTCATTGGTTTTTATTGTACTTTTCCCTTTAAAAAATAGCTAAACTAAAGTTGCACAGACCATGTATAAAAGCCATATTCCAATATTTCAGATCTTTCAAGTCACGATCTGCTTCCGAGAGCCCCTCAGAATCCTTTCCTCACCAAAAAGAAAACAAAATATTAGAGCTACAGTTGTGCGGGAACCAACAAACATCAACATTGACCAACAAACAGACTGAGGCATTCTTTCATATTGCCCGTGTAAAGAAGGAAACTGCTACCATTACCACAAGGTCCATAACACAGTGTTCAAAAATTCCCAACAAAAAAGTTACACTTGATGTACCACAATAGGATGCAAAATTGTTTTATGTGTTAGATTAAAGCAACACAAAAATGTGCAGAAGACCAGAAAATTACCTCCTCCACTGGATATCAACAATAACTAACCTTGTGAAACATTCAGTTTTCAAATCCATATTTAGAGTTTTCTATTTCTTGGAACAAGAAACAAAGTTGGTTTACCTATTTTATCATAAATCTTTAAAATGAAAAGAAAAATGCAACTTCTTCTAGGTTCAACCAACCATACCACCAAATTATAATTGAAGCTACCATCTGAATCTTAATGCAGCATCTACCATTAGGCTTCCAAAATATCTTAGAATCGAAGTGTTGACTTGAACAGGATGAAGCTGTAGCAAGCATTGATAAAAGTAAGCATATATGCAATCTAACCAAAAGTCAAAATGCATATCTTGATTTGAAGAAAAGCTAAAAAGCTTCAACCAATCATTCAAACACAACACAAATGAAATGAACAGTAAAGCCATATAAAGATTCCAATGTAGGAAGTGTTTCCAGTAGGAATCAATTGAAAACCTCCACAAATTAACAAAATAAACCCTAGCTTAAGGCAATCAGACGACGCATTAACTGACCTTTGAAAACCTCCACAGAAATGTATCGTGCTTGATAGATAAATCGTGCTTGAAACCTCCACAAAATCGCAGAATCGCTTGAAACCTCCACAAAATCGCTCGCTTGAAACCTCCACAAAATCGCCTTGTGCTTTGATAGGTAAATCGTGATAGGAGCGATCATTTAAGACTGAATCATGGAGAGCGTGCGATAGAGGGATCCTTGGAGACTGAATCGACATGACTGTAATCGCCTGTGGAGAGCGTGCGATAAAGAGAGTCGGTCGTTGGGCAGAGTTGCGTTGGGAAGAGGAGAGCGTGTGATGTCGTTTGGAGTGGTTTAGGGTTTAGAGGTAGCGGATGTGTGAAGGTGTTTCTGCATTAAAGGGTAGTAACTTAAATTGAAAATGCATAAAAAAGTTGTACATTTTTAAGACTTTAAGACTTTCTGAATTAAAGGGTAGTACCTTATGCATGTTAAGATGTTTTTAAGACTTTGGGTAAATTTGCTTTATAAAATAGTATAGATAAAATTGCTCTTATTCAAGTGTCGGAAGTGTTGAATTTGGAACAAATTTCGAAGAGAAGATGAATCCATGTGATTTTGTATTTATATTTACGAAAACCAGGGATGCATGTTTTTTTTCTGTTGTTGGATATGGATGTGACTTTGAATGCAAAAGTTTTTGAAGATGTAGATTTGAGCATCGACATTTTAGGTGTTTTAAGAGTTTGAAAC